CCCCCCCCCCCCCCCCCCCCATGCTGCCTACAATGTGCTCGCTCTCGAATTGCAATCTTCCTTCTGGTTTGCTTGCCAGCTGTTGTCGGCGACGTGGTACATGCACCAGCAGGGGATCGTCCACCGAGACCTGAAGCTAGAGAACGTCGTGTACGAGAGCACTCTGCCTGATGCTGACATCTTCATCATCGACTACGGCCTTTCCAAGGTGGGGCCTCGCCGTCTTTTGTTGTGCGCGATGAGACTTTCGTGAACAGAGAAGAGAGAGGAATCCGACATGCTACACCGATTCGCCGTCTTCTCAGTTGAACTTGTTGATGACGAACAACACACCCGAACAGGAGCAAACACTGCAGCCTGCCTGGTGGCAACAAAGGTGGCACGCAGTGTTTTGATTGACCGAAAAACCTTATGGCGATTTCTTTTTGTGAGACAACCGACGATCCTTGGGTGGCATTGCGTGTTATTCATGGCCAATCGGGCAGGCATAATATTTTTTGCCCGTCTGAGATCCAACGTGAAAAGTATGTTTTATTCCGTTTCGACCTGTCTTTACCCGGATAGAAACAGTCAACCCTATGGTAGAGCTCGCCGTTACAGCGCTGTGCGCATGTGGAATGCGAAGCGCGGCGCTGTTGGAGTCCCTGTTCATCAAAGGCCGACACATACTTCAGGCGCAACTGTGCCACAAAAGATTGAAACTACACGACGCTCGACTTTTGACAGATTATCGACAGGGACGAGGCACGAATGAAGGAGGTGGTTGGCACCTTGTATACGATGGCGCCGGAGGTGCTTAACGGCGGGGTGAGCTACGACAAATCGTGCGACATGTGGTCGATCGGCGTGATAGCCTTCGTTCTACTCAGCGGTGATATGCCGTTCGACACTACTACCAAGCAGAGGCTCATGAAGGCCGTAGAGAACGGGCGCATCGAGTTCTCTGGCAGGCGGTGGAGCAGAGTCAGCAGCGAAGCCAGGCGAGTGGCGACTGTTGGACGTGGTGGTGTTTGTGGCGATGCATGTGTGGTCGTCGTGCTCTTTGTGTTTTGCCGAGAGCAGCCAATCTAAAGCCGTTGCCGTCTCCACCCGCCCTCTCTACCGATCTATCGGGTAGCCTTCTCAACGTACCTCTACCAATGTCTACACAGCGTAGCAAGCACCACGTGAGGTGGCAAACGGGCACCAGTATTGCGCAAAAGAAGGCTCTTGTCCCGTCAGACTGACAGCGCACACTGCTGACAGTCGGCTGTACCTTACCCCCCAGCCCATTCCCTGCAGCGTGAGTCGTGCGTTTTCTCTTGATCGTTCGCGGCAGGGCGTTTCAGCTCGTTGTATTGTTTTCTCAACTCGTCGCGTCTTGTCAGGAGCTTTATCCGGCACATGATGGTGAAGAATCCGTCAGGGAGATACACGGCCGAGCAGGCGTTGCAGGTACGAGGCTCCAGGGTACGCCGAAACAGGGTCCTCCGCGCGTTTTAGGCAACGCATTCTTCTTTGTTTTTTGCTCGCTTTTTTTGTGTGCATCCTGGTACCCAGGCAACGCATTCTTGTTTGTTTTTTGCTCGCGTTTTTTGTTTTGCATCCTGGTACCCTTGCCCTCCTCGTCGACTCTCCATGATGATTTCGTCAACGAAGTCGGGAGTGGGTCGAGGGTGACTTGTCTGCACGGGGAGGACACCTTTAGGATGCACGGCTCATCGTATGGGGCCAAATAGTATGAAACCGCTGACGGTGGCTGGCAAGACACGCTGACGGCGGGCAAGGCCGTAGTCCTCATGCGTGGGCTTGAAGTGTTTCGGCGGGGGCATAAAATCCTGACAGCGTGAAGAATGTGATTGAAGATTGGGCCGTGGATCCCCACGATGCCGCTCAAGCTCACCAATCTCCGAACGCCTCCTGCTTGTCCTGCTCTCCATGTTGCACGCGTTCAAAATTTCAGCACAGTTGGATTCAAGGTTGCAAGCTGTCGGACGAGCAGCGGATGCTCTCGCCCGCTCCCACCGTGCTTGAAAAGGAGGATCACGACCGAGTCGTGGCTTCCATGAAGAACTTCGCTCTCTACAGCAAGGTGCGCGCCGCACTTGGCGTGTTTTGCGGTACTCTACCCCGATTTACAAATTATCGTTCGCGTCACACAGATATATCCTTGGAAAGGTCAAGGAAGAAGTAGGAGTTTTACACATTAACGGGTCTGCGCAGGCATCGGCTTGCGTGCTATGTAGCGTGCGGACCAGCCGGTCGTGCTGTTACCCTGTCGTTTTCTTGTTCATGTGAGATGTGCCGCGCAACACGAGGTCAATTATTCGACGGCGTGACGGGTGGTGTCCCTGTTTCTTGGTTCGACAGATTACTGTATCGTTAGTATGTGCCGAACCTTCACGCCGCGGTCACGCATGTAGAGACAATGGTCTCTTTTGATGAATGAGCGTGTGTGCTTGGTGCTCACCAGAGATTGAGGAGGGGAGAGCAACGCAGAGGATAGTCATTCGGTGGCGGTACCAAGCCGATGTATCCCATCAAGTCTACAGAGTCGACGAACGATGCAGGACGCAGGGCCCCGAGCGTTTCGTAGCCCGCGGCGTGCAACTTGCGCCGCTGTCCCTCTCCCCACCAATCCCCCACCCCCCATTCGGCGTCGTTTCCAAGCAGTGTTTGATGATAGCCACGCGTTGACCAATGTTTTGGTTTTTCCTTCCAGGTGAAGAGGACGGCGCTGATGCTGGTGGCCTACAGGAGTAAGCCAGGGGAAACAAAGGCGATGCGAAGGGCTTTCAAGGCGTACGACGTGGACCAGAATGGTCGCGTCAGCCGAGCCGAGTTCCAGAAGGTTCTGAAGAAACAGGGCTACTCCGACGAAGAGGTTAGTTGTATGACTCTTCCGATATTTCTGGCGGTTTGACTGCATCAAAGTCACGCACAGCTATATTTCATCCGTTTCTTACCGCGACGGCCACGTACAAGTGATGAGACCCATGCCATACCATACCATGTGTCATGTATGTGGCGCTTGGACCATAACAACAGTGGCCGGCCGGAATGCACATGGCGCCCTTACCCGGTGCTCTTACCGTGCGCTCTCGTCTACCCTATTCGAAGATTAACCATGATACATGGGAAGGCAAGCTGATGCATGAAATCTTCGCGGTTGTTCACGACCAAGCACATATTCTCAGGGAGCTTCGATAGTGCATTCTGACAAGGAAAACACCGTTTCCCGACGTATTGCCCCGTCCGTTTCGTCGTGTGCTGTCGCTGCTGCTGCTGCTGCTGCTGCTGCTGTTTCACCAGCTGGTCGGTCTTTTCGACGAAGTGGACGACGACCATGATGGGTTCCTGCATTACACGGAGTTCCTCGCGGCGACGCTGGAGACAGGCGGGAAGGAGGTGACAGACGAGCGGCTCGCGGAGGCCTTCGACCTACTCGACATGGACGATTCTGGGTCCATTTCAAAGGAAAACTTGCTGGAGTTCCTGGGCAAAGACTCGAAGGTGCGCTCCAATAGTCCCACCTCATCGACTTGTGTCTCGCCGACACGGCGCCTGCCGCTTTCTTTTTGTTCACCAAACGAGTGACTCGTTATGGCTGCTCTCTGTCCTTGAAGGCATCATTTTCCTGATCTGGAGGTCAGGCCCAAAGAAATGGCTTGTGAAGCTGCTATTTCCTTCAATTTCGATCTGTCTTGTCCCGGCCGTCGTATCGATTCCGAGTTCTCCTGGTCAATTTTTTGCGTTCATCTGTTATTTTTGGCTACGTTTTTCTCTGTGTTGGGCGTTTGCTTGTTGTACCTGTTTCCGAATGTCTTGTCCCCATTTTCCTTGTGTTCTTCTGTACAAGTCGCCTGCTGCCCGATTTCGCTAGCCCTTCAAGGAAATCACGGTAGGTATGCTTGGTGCTGTGATCCACCTCATGACCCCTCTCGCTCTCGCTCGTTGTATCTGTTTTTTGTTTGTCCCTATGTTTTTGTCCCCCTATCCTATCGTGCTTTCGTTTTCGTCGTCGTTATTATTCTTGGTGCCTTGGGCTTGGCCGAACCGAACCATCGATCACGATCGGTCAACGAATGGGTAAAAGGGGTACAATGTGACGCAGCTGATCGCGGAGGCGGACGAGGATGGCACTGGTACTATCAACCTTCATGAATTCTGCAACCACATGCGAAAGAGGTGCGGCTCAGGAAACAATATTACTGTTGGCCGGGGCGGCTCGTCCCGGTGTTCCCCTCGCGCAGCAGGATTTCGCAAGCGCATTTGCTTAGCTCTGGTTTTAGCACAACCAAAAGGGGCTGTGAACGCTCTTTACTGCCGTGTGCAGGGTAGGTCTAAGCTCTGGAAACCAAGCTGTGGGTGACTGATGGTGGCAGCAGCAGCTATCTCCCCGGCAACATGGCCACACGTTTTCGAACCGCTGCGGTTTCGTGTAGTTTGACAGGCTTATCCAACCTTCGTCACCCCCTTCGTGGCTTCTCCCTGTGCACTCGACCAATCAGCGGAAGGTTTAGCATATCGAGTCTCGGAGCGACAAGCGGTAGCAGTGTCATCGGGCATCAGTTGGGTGGCTTCGGAGCACCTGGCGAGGAGAAGACCGATGGTTTGGCGGTATCCGTCATGGAGCAACGGGGGGAGACCGATTCTGCCGAGAAGGGACCCCCTACCCCGCCCCCACCTTACAGCCGCGTGGATGAAGGGGTGGTGCATGGACTCGCGCCCCCGTCCGCTCCGGCATGACGTCATCGAGCTGGCGATTTGCGGGAATTCGAAACGCGATTTGCGATGTTTGGTCTTATTTCCGTTGACTGCATTGACGCCACTTTCTGAAACCTAAATAGCCATGCTTGTTTTCTGTGTTCGGTGTTTCAAGAAGCAGGTCGCAATTTGACGATGGACAACTCCCCCAGCGTTGGTTGAGGATATTGAGGGATGATTTGGGGGTGGAACTGCGGAGTGTTTTCTTTCTGCGCCAAGGCGAACTCTGACCGCTCGCGGAAATCATGGATCTTGCCGCGTCCTCCGTGCAGCAACTGTTTTCGAATGAACCGTGTATGCGTGATTTTGGTGTCAATTTGACATTCGGACATTTTGCGTCTGGTTTCAGCCGTGTGCGTTTTGTCGCACTTGCATTTCCGACTAGACAGTGGGTATTTTTAGTATGGTACACAAATTTAACGGTTGTGTTTCGCGCGTAGGGTCATGTTTTCTATTGGTTCCGATATTCAGTTGTTTTTCGAAAAAACAGGTCTTTCCCATCCAGGTATTCCATATTTCCTCGTCATCTTGTATTTCGCATCCCAGGCGGCACCTCGCGTTTCCACATGTGTGTTGTCGTTTTCGTGTCACGCCCCTCAGGCGGAAACCGACCGCAAAATTTGGTGCTGACGGCGGTGTTGTACAAAATGTCCAGTGTTGTACAGAACATGTAGTTTTCAGTCGCAGTAGCGTCGATGACGGCCTTATACCCAGTGTGTTGTAAAACAGACCCCTTCGGGCCGCGCTCGCACTACCCTCTGCGTTGAAATTCAGTTTCTTGTCGATGTATTGGTTGACTCCGTTGGCCAGATTTGAAGCGATACCTAGACATCGTGATTGGAAAGCAGTGTTGTAGATAGCGAAGATATAATGCGTAGGTGCGGTGATACGTGTGTTGGCGGCAACACACTCTTTGGCAACTCAGAGCCGCCCGCATGTTCAAACCTTTGTCTCATAGTAAAGATGTATACGCATGGCTGCCAAAATCGGCAACGGGGTAGGGGACGATATGTGTAGTGCTTCAACGTCGCCCTTGAACGTCGCCCCTGTTTGTGGACGGGCCCAAACGTCATGAACGAAGACGTGAGACTTTCACGGTAAAATCACCGATCAGCGACCCGACCCCGGCAAACCAGTACATGGTTCGCAGATTTTTTGGACTACTGTCGTTGCGTGTTGTTCACCCACGCTTCATTTCGGCCGTTGCCTTGTCTCAGATTTGTTTCATGTTGAAGTCTACGATAGAAGGTGTATTTGTTGGGCGTGGACATGTTACCTGTTTTTGCTCTCCGCGGTGTTATTGCTTGTTTCTTGTGTTGAAAGACGATGGGGCTCGGCTCCCCGCTTGCTTTTGTTCGAAGCCCGCATTGCGTTGAACAAATTGTACGCGTGGCCGATGGCCAAGACAAAAAATATTCTCGCGCTTCGCGAGGTGTCACGTGTCCACGACGGGCGGGGGCACCCCGCACCCTATTTGTTCTCTAGTCGTTTTATTTGTGGCATCGAATCTTGAGTGGGGGGTTTTAAGTGGCTTCTTGATGCTTCACTCATCACCTCATCACCTGTGGCTCGCGGTAGAGGACAGCTATCTGTTTCCTGCATTCAGTTCGCTGCGGTGGGGCGCATCCGCGTGCCACCGGCCGCTACGGCTGTACTACAACCGTGGTATGTTTCTCCGGTTCGAAAAATTAGCCGAAAACTAGTAGGCCTAGCTGCTGTAACGCATGCCCCTCGACAAAAGCATAACAAATCACTCACTTCCCGGCGAACAAAAATGGAACGCCAAGCACGTTAATCCAAACCAAGGTTGTGCAGGAAGAAAGAACGCACTCGTCGTGACTCCGGTTCAGCATCATCGAATCATGGGGTCCTGGCGAAAACACCGTGCTTCTCCCGACGGTTTGCATCGTCAAACTACTATAATACAAATCATTATCGCTACCGGCGTGCTTCGTTGCTGGACTGATCGAGTGTCTTCAAAACAAACGACACACGACTGTCGGAGCGCACCCACCCTGTTCTTCGCCTCATATTTCAACACGACCTATGCCCAGAAAGGCGCCTTGACGGAATCTCCGCGCATCGGCCTATGCTGCGGCTCCCACTAATTTTATCTGACGCTCGAACTGTCTCGAACGAGGGGAACTGGAAATCTGATTCAAAGAATGCTGAAACCTTCCGCAACAAGCAAATGCTCCCGACCCACCTACAACACTGCATGGAGGAAAAAAGAGTCAAAAGTACGTTTCACCTAAGTAGATCCACACTTGCTAAACGTTCAGCAACAAGCAAATCATCCCGGCCCCATTGATGCAGCGGGAAAAAAAGGGTCAAGAGCACGTTTTAGGCAAGAAGACCGACGACACCGCGCCGTATCGACACGGGTGCCGAAAAGAAGCCCCATGATCCGGACTACATATACCAACAACGTGAACACAAAAGCACTAGCGAAAAGGCGTCAATCGCGATCTCATGGCCGACCTCTCCTCTGACACCCCCACCACGACCTGCTGCCATCCAAATAGAAACTCAAGTTTTCGCAACGCGGAAGGGCAAAAGCGCCCTTTTTTGTTGTACCAAGAACAAATCGACAAAAGAGAGAACATAGTCGCACGCACAGGTACATGCAGAGACCTACATTCTTAGTAGCGCGGGTAGAGGGATACCATGACGTATCGGCTGGGATGCCGAATATATATATTTCGAACAGACTATACCAACCGAATCAACAAACAGCGGAACAACGATGATCGCGATCTCAGGGTCTAACGATAATCGCGATCTCAGGGTCTAACCTCCCCTCTCACACCATCACCATGAACAACGCTTGCCTCCAAAACGTGAACTGCAAACTGTGCCACTCGAAAGAGCAAAAGCTCCCACTTTCCGACACACAACGCACCGAGGAAACAGAGCCAACAGTCGCGTACCCGCCAAAACGAAAATGAAAAACAATAAAAAGCTGTCCAAAATACATGACCTACATGCTTACTTTGCAGGAATTCTGATGGACCAGATGGAATGCCAATTATAACTCTGGGGTTCTATGCTTATGCAGCAGGGCAAATGACGAGAACGCGTCTAACGACCAACAACAAGCCGCCAACCTATGCCACCACTACCGCGGACATCATCAGCTTCATGTCCCGGAACAGAACCTCAAAGAGCCGTTCGTTCTTCCTCTATAAAACCCCGTGTGCAAACAACAATCTACCCCCCTCTCACACAAAACGCGATAGGTATGTCACTACAGTGAGGCCGCCGCGCTGCAACGTACGCCACGACTATCGAAAGGCACATATCGCAGCCTGCAGCCCTGACAACACAAGGAGATCGCCCTCCCTCCCCCCCAAAAAATACAATCCGGCAAACCACTTGGTGCCGGGCTAGCAATCACGGCCCCCACGTCCGGTTGCAAACCACGTTCCCCGGGAGTTGGCAAGAGCCAAACGCAAACCCCCGAATATATGGGGGGGGGGGGGTACGCATAGTCGTGCATGCCGTAGTCGTTAGACCATTGACCCCGCATCCCTACAAAGCCGGGACGGAGCACGCCGGGTTCTCACCGGACCAGGCTCTCACATCACCAAGCGCGAAGCGCCGTGAGATATTCGGCGAGTCGCATGAAGGGTGCGCTGCATCCTGCTAAGGGTGTTCGGCATCTTGTGCTTACTTCCTTGCGTACGGATGACAGCTGCGTATGACTTAATTTATTTTCTGGTGCTTTCACTTCCAGAGACAGTTGTAAGCACTGTGTAACTGCCTCGAGGGTGCTTGACCATTTCAACATACCGTAGTGCGACCATCCCCCTTGCGCGGAGTGAGGGTTCTCGACCCCGCAACATGATCTACTCGACCACCATTATGGTTACCGCCAAAAAAAAAACCCGGTAACCTGGTTGCCGAGTTCACGAAGTGAATTGGCTTGTTTTACAACGTCGTTGCCAAGCGACGAAAACCCAACCCCGATGACAAACACCGGGGGGGGGGGATACTGTTGAAGGAATCACAAGCTCAACAGACGCTAGCAGGTGCGTCTGCATGTGCTAACGGTTTGTCGGGAATATAGTCGGGGCTGACGAGGAGGGTTTTGGAATTCTCTTCCTCGCCTGTACCAATCTTGACGGCGATGCACCCGAGTCTGTTCGCGGACGTTTTACTCAGGTGCCAGTATGGCCTGCTAGGTATTACCCCGCTCCTGGAACGCTCTCCAAGGGTGGCCGATGTGGATTCCATGAGCTTGTCGATCCTTGCCATGAGAAGTGTTCTCATGGATCTATTCTCCACGTCCATGGACAAGCGGTCCATTTTCCATGTCACCGAACCGTAGTCGCTCAAAATCGGGTGCAAGCGGAAATCTAACGCTGGCGCACTGAGAGCATCGGCTACACGCAGGAGCACTCGCATGGAGAGGTGGATGAACCATACGAAGAAGTAGAGCAAAGGGATGGGCAAGGATACCAAGAACAGAGGCGTGAGCGGCAGCACCTGAAGCAGAAACTTCAGGATATCCCGCACGCTGAATTCTCCCCGCGCGCTGTCCCTCGCATGCGAGACAACCTCGTTTGCCATGCGCCTCCACGTGAGCGACACCTTGTTGATAAGCATCAGAGCGGTGTCGAATGCCGACCGGCACACGAACGCCAACCCCACCGGTACCAGCCATATGAAACCCCAAGCGCCCAGGAGAGCCATTCCCGGATTCACCGCAGCAATAGATAGCCCCAGCACGATCAAGCAGATGACGGGAATGGTATAGCCGAGGCCCTCAAACTCGTGTGATACGCCGACAAAGATCGTGACCGTAACACCGCCTGACCACAAGACCCCGACAAGCAGCGTGAGGTACCACTTGGTGTCGAAGACGTTGTCGTCCAAGTACTTCCTTGCCCACGGCCTCAGGCGGTCCTTCGGGCTGACTCGAGACATATCCATGGGTTCCACCGCTTGGACCATGTTCACCACAAGAACGGCGACCATCGCGGCTTGAAACCCGTTCAGAAGGATGCGGAATAACAGCGGCGTGTCGCCATCTGTCGTCGGAAACACCTGAGTCGTGCAACAAGAGGGATGAACCGACTTCTGTGTCAAGCCACAACTATTTGTGAGAGCCACTGCAATACTCGACCAAAGATCAACCAAGGGAAAAAAATCATCCGTGGAACAAGTCACAATTATTTACATGGATTTATACATGTGTAGGCATACCATGGCATATATAGCCCCCTTTCAAGACGCAGTGCACAACAATCAACACACACGATATTTCGTGACGGAGAAAAAGAGGCAAGTATGTCACGGTGACACGACTCACCTCGAGGTAGACACCGAATGCCGCTAGCCCGATAGCGAGAAATCCCTGCCCAGACAATTGTCCCTGGTGGTGGCGGACTAGCCGGCACTGGGACACTCTGACTATCGGGTCCTTCATGCGAGCGCACAGGAGAATGTGCTTGAACACCCATGGCCAGGTGGCCTGGTGGAGCAAACGTACGACAGACGATCGGCGTGTGAGCACGCGTGACCTAAGGCACCTCGGAGGCCCACGTAAGCACGAGCACGATTGCAGGAATTGGAACGGCTTCAAGACCAAAAGCCTTGGACTCTCGAACAACACGTTGCAGGTCCCGCACCCCAGTAAATACTACGCTCCACCGGAATCACCTGGCGCCGTCAGAAGTTGCGACCATGAGACCGCAGCCATGACTGACGCACGGTCGCAAACGCAAAAAAGCAAACACTTGACAAAGCGCACACAACGCGTACCTCTTGGTTCAAGCCGGCCACGACCGCCACCGCCAGCAACGTCAGCACGTTCACATGGTTCCTGGCTAACACGAAGAAGTAGTAGATGCTCGCGACGAGCGAAATGATTCCGATCGACGCATCGTGGAAACTGTAGTCGCTGATTAAGTTCTCGAGCGCATCTTGTTCCGCGGTCGACGTTTCACCTAGTTCGACCCCCATCAACCCCCCCTTCCGTTCGGTCGTCACACGCTCCCTGAATGACGTCCTTTGGGATGAGCACGTCCCACGGGTGGCGATGGACAAGCGAGAGGCGGGGGGCAGAGCGTCACGAGAAAGGACGAGGAGACAACGGTACAAAAGTACGAAGATCTTTACGCGTGTGGTACAAGCCTGACGAAAAGTTCAAGGACCACAATCCCAGGCTATGTCGTACATCGTGCCACATGTGGATTTCGCAGGGGCCGCGTTACGCTCGAAGAAGACCCACGGGTGCAAGAATGCTATCGCTCCGACTCACACGCTCTTGTCGAAGAGCTTGCTGTCTTGGACAACTTCGCACACCAAATAGGCCTGTATGAGCCGGTCCATGGACGATTCGCCAGGGCACACGATCAGATTCCCTCCCCGGCGCATGTTCCTACCCCAGAAGAGAATTATCTCGGGGAGTTTTGGTGGCTTCTTCATCGCTTCCTCTTCCTTGTCTCTTTCGGATACCCTGAGCGCCGCCGCCGCAGCCTCTGGCGTCAAGTCTTCGGGGGCAACGTCGCTTTCTTCGGCCTTACTCTCATCGTCATTTGTGGCTGTCAGTTCCGCTATGCCCAATCCGGACGGCGAAGCTCGCTTGAAAATTGCCGTCATCTGCCTCAGGGAGAAGTCGCCGTGGCCAATACGGGCGCTCCCTTTTACGATGGAGCGCTCACTTTCCTGTGACAACAAAAAGCCAACAGCAGCGGCGATGAACGACGACAACATGGGTAGAAAATATCGATGTCGTCCATTCTCAACGAGTTAAACTGCTCCTGACGTTTGTTGAATGTGGTGCAATTTTTATCTCGGGCGTGGCCCTGGAAGCACCGCCTACGCCCTAACGGAAAATCACGACCGTCCCCTCTTGTACGCGTTGTCGATCGAATGCAAGACCGCCCTTGCCGTTTCAACCAGATCGCTCGTCCTCTCACCGTGAAGGTGTCCACTTCGACCACGCGTACGTGGGCCTCTGGCGGATTCAAAAGAGATATCGCTTCGTCGAGAAGCTTGAGGTCTCGTTCTTCAAGGTGCGGCATTCCCACCGGCCTGCCGAGCTTTTCCCACAGATTCTCTCCCAGATCGATGTGTCCTTCGTACACGATTTGCTCAACCGTGAAATGCTGCAGGCGAAATGGTGGTTTGCGTGTTTGCGCCAACGAAGGGTCAAGGGGTGTCTGCAGGTCAAAGCTACGATGACGATACGCGAGCGGGCGGAGATGTTTACAAATGTGGCCGTTTGGGTAACTTCAGTTATCACGTCTGCGTGTCTTGTGGTGAGGTTAGTAGGGGACAACGCATCCTCGCTCAGGCGCGCGTGCTAAGGCATGGGACAAGACGCCACGACACTGGCTTCTTTTTGCGGCGATTGGTAGTCAAACGCTGTCTCTGGCATACGTTTTGGACTGGTCACGGGTGGAGAGAGCATCGAATCAAAGAAGCTATTGTGGTAGATTATAGGACCCGACACAGGGTTTGTAACGTTGTGTGGTTCACGTGAGCTCAAAAAGGGACCACGGGCTTTCGTTCTGCGACACACACAATTGAGGGCACGGGACAACTTTGTGGTGATAGATTGCTGTATTGATCAAGAGAAGTCACTGGTGACATGGGATGCGAACATCCCCAACATCACCCCAAATCTAACCAGGAAGACATCTGGCGTCTCGAGGTATGTTTCCGCCACATTCTTGAGTCTGACGCCGAATGTAGCTTCTTTTGCCAGACTCGGAATTTGGGGCGGGAACTTTGGCCAAATTCTGCATGCGCTACAGCAGACACATATCAACAAATGTCTAAACCATGAGGTGCGTCGTTTTTCAATACCAACCGTAGTAGTCGGAGAGATGGCGCCAGGTGCGATCAATCTTTTAAATGTTTTTTTCTCGTTTTTTCTATCGCACCCCGGTGCCATCGCTCCGACCGGTGTCATCTCTCCGACCCCGGTGCGATCCCCGATGAATACACACAGGTGTTGTATGCACGCACCCCGGTGCCATATCCCCAACCGGTACGATAATATTGATACCAGCGTAGGCAGACGGAGTTATGACACATCGCTAGTTGACAATGCTATTGTTCAGTACTGAACCACACGTGTAGGTACCGTTGTTGCTAGTTGGAAGCACACCGGCAAACCTCAACGTTATACGTACTTGTAACAGCTTTCCATGCAGCGAGTGGTCTTGTGTTTGATGCGAGGTTGGCTATAGCGCGACAAGGACAACAAACGACGTCGTTTCCATCTGAGGTACTAGTACACACGGTAGCAATTGTCTCCTGCCTTCGTTTCGGTCTTCCTCTACGGATACCAGCACGTACGCAGCAGTACGATAGTTTCGTGTTTGTGTAAGGTGGGATAGGGTGCGGCTTGCACGCTTGTGTGTTTGGTCGAATGTACGATTGGCGACTTCCATACCAACAAAAAAAGTAACAACTGGCATCCCTCGTGAACCGCGACCATGCATACGTACATATGGTACAGGACAAGAGTGGCGCTCCGCCGACACGGTATGTATGCACATGTGTGTACCTCATTCCGGCAGCTGGAAAGGAGCTCAATCTTGGATTAGGGGTTGGAAGGATCGCACCGGGTGCGATCTCACCGACCCCGGTACGAAAATCGAATTAAATGATGCCGTTCTTGTATTTTTTGGCGCACCCCGGTGCCATCTCCCCGACCGGTGCCATCTCTCCGACTATCACGGTATCTTGTCCATACTGAGGGCGGGTCTGGTCGCAAGAACAATCCACATCGAATATCGAATTCGATTTCGGTGTTAGATTTCGAATTGGCTTTACTCAAACTCCCACGGGGTTGCATCGAAATCGAAAACGGAAGGTAGTCCTGAAGAACCGATGAAGGCCCGAAAGTGGCCGTTACAATGATTCACACCATGACCCATAAGAGCCAATGGGCACCCCAGGAGTGGTAATTATAGTGCCACTCCTATACCAATATTTCAACATTTGGCGCGTCTGTTATCCCGTGTGACATCTTTTCTACGGGCGCAGCCCCAGAGGGATGCGAATGCTTCTGTAGCTGTTTCTCTCCTGCTTGGTAGTTACACTGCGCTGCTCCGCCGACTGTTGGCGACACAGAAGTAGAACAGGAGCGGGTTACACACGTCCCTCTCTCTCTCCCTCTCTCTCGCTCTCTCCCTCTCTCTCGCTCTCTCCCTCTCTCTCGCTCGCTCCGTGAAACCGACAAGACGAGTAGGTTGTTCGCGTGCGTTGTGATGCGAAGTTTCAAGTATGTCGCGAAATTCAGATGGACGGGAGTTGTGCTTCCAGTACTACTTTCGTCATGATAAGACACCGAAACGAAAGCGGGAGACAACTGATACCGAATGTACAGGTACCTTAGATGGAAAACGACATCATTTGCTGTCGGCACGCCATAGCGCAAGTTTCACCAAACATAAGACCACTCGCTGCATGGAAAGCTGCTCGCCGCTCTTTGCGGGGTACGTATGTGTACAAGGTGGTCTGGCGGCTTTTCGCCACCCGCTCAATAGATCGATTCCAAGATACGCGATCAGTGATACTCAATATTTGTGGCAGTTCACAATGTATTGAAAGATAAAAATGGATCGGTCCAGAAAGAGAGAGGGCGTATGCATACTCGATTCGTGTCATACAGCAAGCGGTAGTCTATCCGACAAAACATCAACATGAAACAGGTGAACAACGAATGGTCGCGCCGCCCCGCTTTATAGACCTTGACCTCACCGTCAGAAGTGTTCCCTCTTCACGCCGTTAGGTCTTTACAAACACCGCATTCCCAGGGAACACGGAACATTTCAGCGCGCGCGTGCGGCCGGCATGTACTCAAAGGTAACAACTACAACCATTGGATACAGAAAGACGAATGGGGGGTAGAGGTGGTGTAGGTTTTGAAGGAAGCTGTTTACGATCGCACATCAGACACATGTGCTGGGTATCGGGTAGAGCAGGCGGTGCTCGTTATGCCATCCCCCCCCTCGACAGTGCTCTGGAAGGCTTGCTTTTTGAGTTGTGGTCCACGGCAGCATGCCATTTCTTGGACACGTTATGTTCCCCCTACAACGGCTACACGAGCATTCGCCACCGACATGTTGCATCCGAGACACCTGATGATGGTGGCAATGACTATAAGGCTGGAACTGGTAACATGCACCACCTGTGGCAGCCACATGCCCAAGAGTGATCACACACATACCACCACGTCCTGAATTGCAACCAAAGAGCCCGTGTTCCACGTTCCCTATCGTCTGTTGGCAAATTTTAAGTCCCTCGAGAGATGAAATTATGATGGGGTGCAACTTCCTGAAACAGGGAACGTGTGCAGCATGTCTTGTTACAGGAAAGTTATTTTGTGTGGCTGGCCAATTAGACAATAGTTCCGAGTTCCGAGTTCCCTGTGCCCTGTCCAGAACAGCGCAGTTGAGACACGCCCTGAGAACAGAATGAAGCGGAACGATGGAAAATATCAGAAATGTTCCCGGATAAGAGATGGAAATAAATAAATGCAGAATGCAACAAGTGAGAGCTTTACATGTGAGAGCCGAGAGACAGGCTGGTGTATGAGAGGAGAGAGATAGCGACTGGCATACAATGTGATGTGTGAATGGACGGGGAATAGAGGAAGGGGGGGGGGGGGGGGGGNGGGGGGGGGGGGGGGGGGGGGGGGGGGGTACTCATAGTCGTGCAATCCCCCTTGCGCGGAGTGAGGGTTCTCGACCCCGCACAACATAGTCTACTCGACTTCCTCTATGGTTACCGCCAAAAAAAAAAAGAGGTAAAAAGAAAAAAATGGGAGCCTGGTTGCCGAGTTCACGAAGTGAATTGGCTTGTCTTACAACGTCGTTGCCAAGCGACGAAAACCCAATCCCGATGGCAAAAACCGAGGGGGGGCATGTTTTACAACGTCGTTGCCAAGCGACGAAAACCCAACCCGGATGGCAAACACCGGGAGGGAGGGGAGGCGGGGTAGCAATAAAGAGCAGAGGGGACGCAAGGAAGAAAAATACTTCACCCGACGAAGCTACTGGCCCACACTAGGCAAGAAATTAGCTGCTGCAATTGTTTGCCATAATGTGGTATCACGTGGCATCACTACAATCGCAGAAGCAAAAAAAGCGATTAATGCGATACTGTCCAATTCGACACCCTCGACTTTATCGTAGCGACCAGGTGCTGCGAAACGCTGCACCCTGCAGATCGTACGCACCACCATGTATTCGATGAAATTTTCTAGAAGGCTTGACCACAGAAAAATGCTGGCCTGCCGAGATCGACATGGGCATTCGAAATGGCACTACTGTACAGAAAGATTCAGATGTTGCGTACAGGATAGCGCCTTGGTGTAGAGCCTTCAGGGCACGCGCCCAGGTCATACACCACACGAATACGTGCATGCGTTGGTTTCGCAAAACGCTGCGCGCGTATATGGACAAGGTCTGCGCTTTGCGTATCCATTGACTGCCAATGCTTCAGTGAACGACCGACCGACACCACATTCAACAAAAACACAGGCTCCCCACATGAAGGCAGGAACGTCGCAGCGTGGTTGTGTTCACACAAGGTTGCAACGACACACTGGAACACCGGTACTGGAAGGACGTAAAGACTTGCGAGAACGCATCCACCGCTCAGATGACACCATACTTCGGAGGAAAGTCATAGCCTTCCGACCGTACACTTGTGGAGGACAAGCAGAGACACAAAACAGATATTGGTGACTACAGCATGAAACAGCGCAGTCAATGACCACGCTGCGATATTGCTGTGTACCGCGGCGCTCCCACGATCATCGGTGTTCGAGGTGTTGTTCTTCGAGCTCCTGCACATATGCTTAGCGATGGTTACGCAGTCAGCTCGACCGTGAACGTGCTTCTTTGCAGCTCTTGCGAACCTGCCGACGTGGCCTCGACAACCATATTAGGGTCGGTTCCGTACCCCCTTCAGTGCCCCACCGTCAAAGCTGTGCAGGCGTTCTTCGCGTCTCTCGGCTCTCACGTCACCCTCCAACTAAACTACGCATACGCACGACGTGTTTCGACCGGTGTCTAGACTTGTCTGTTCACCAAAACGCAAATACTGCAGCAAGAAACAGCGGTGATCCAAAGCAGCTTGGCAAATCTTCGAAAATGCAACTGGCCCGTACTGGTGGAGGGCTCCATGGCCCTGCGGGAGCAACAAAAGCCTTCGATCTATTGGAAGCAGAAGCTCGCATTGGTGTGTCGATGTTCAAATCGTGACATATTTCGTAACACATGGACAACAATCTCGACTGTATCACTTTCTTGACGCTCTGATAGGTTCGGACTATGGTCCTCTCTCTGTCGCGGAGCAAGTTGTGTTTGACAGCGGCCTCCAAAGCGGGAGAAGGGCGGTTGCTATCCTCCATACGATAAGGAAATATTTCCTTGGCTAAACCAGGAAAATATACAGACAGGAGTCGTTGCATATATCGCCAGGAGGCTGGCTACCCACACCTGGTGTGTGCTATGTGTTTGGCACGTTGCTGGCGTGCGCATGCAGTGTACTCCCGAGTACATGCTGTGCTCGTGTGCTTGGGTTNGGGGGGGGGGGGGGGGGGGGGGGGGGGGGGGGGGGGGGGGGGGGGGGGGAGTAGAGGAAGGATGCGAAAAAAACCACAAGCGAGCGACGTAATGTGATCAGATATACACATGGAGGGAGAGCAAGAAGAAATGACAACAAAGCGGCCCACGGAATGTCACAATGTAGGAGAGCCCCGACATGTGAGAACCGAGAGACAGACTGGTGTGTGAGAGCA